TACAAAAAAAAAAGGTAGTTGTGTGTCCTTTACAGAATGTTGCAGAACCAACCTCAGCATTTTCTGTCTATTTGTGATTTCACTAGGCTATTTTACGTTCAGTAGTTTGCCGTTGCTTTCTAAACGGTCGGTTTTCGATACCACTATGGAAACAAGCGGTAGACGATCTACTGTCAATGGGGGTACCTACGAGGCAGACCAATAAGACAGTAGAGAGATACTATTCAGGTCACTATTGGGGTCACCAACTGGAAAGAGAAGGCCAGTCGTAAAGATGGATGGAGGCGGGTGATATCTGCACCAATGAACCTCAAGGGCTCGGAACGCTGTAGGAAATGAAGAGTAACGAGCAATTAATGAAGCCTAGATCTTTTCTTTTTGCTCAGTGAATTCACCTGTCTCTTCAATATGGTAAAATTATAAATAGTAATAATCTGTAAAGAAGTAAAGTAAAGATGGACTAGGGTATACATGTTTGTTCTAGCATTCATCCTCATGTGGAATTCAATTTTTTTGTTATTTTGAAGCGCTAACCTGGCTTTTGCCGGGGCCCCCAAACATAGCCGGGCCTTAGAAAGGTGCCCTAACGGCTGAAAGGGGTTTCCGGGATCCTCATCCGCATGGTGGCACCTTGTGTCACTGGGTGTTTAACGCTTGTGTGATGTCCCTGCGGGGTACAACTTACCTACCTACGTTTATTCTAGGAATGTTAGTTTGATCTAAACTTTCGTTTGTGTCTGTACTATTCAATAGCCCTTTCATACAAAGACAAAATTAAACTCATTTTATTTTAAGAAGTGGTTACTTTAAATAATTATATCTAGGTCTTCATATTTTTATGATGATAGCTTTATGATGATATTCATTATCATCATTAGCAACAAACATCAGTATCCTATTGTGCCACTATATGCCACGTATGGCTTGCCGTCTGTTCCTCCAGGGGCAGAATCATAGACGGGCCTGGGTGCCGAATTCTTAACCCTTTAAAAATTAAGTTTGTTCGTTCGTTTGTTCCATTCCGTCCTACGTCCCATCACTTGCTTTGTTTCCTGCCATGTTCAGTGGCAAAGTTAATTTTTCAGTATTGTGAGCTGGCCTCACGCACAACCAGTCTTCGTTCTCACCCGGACTTAGAACCGTCAATGGCGGAGATCTGCTCTAGGTTTCAAGGTTAATAGAATATTTCTCATAAAATTAGCTCATGTAGCAGCAGGATGGAGAGTAGGGAGTTGAGAAATAAATATTTTGTTTAACACAACCGATAAATGTAAGCTGCGTTGTATGGTAAACATATTTTATATGTATTCATATATACACATAGTTTCGTTTTTTAGGCTATCTGTTGTGAGCATTCGTCCTTCAGTACTCAGTTATTATTGATCTACTTTCACCGGAGAAGCAAAATAAATGCTGGGTTTTTCGGGAACAGACAATTGCCCTGAAGCCCAGATTGTAAGAAGAATTATATTTTAATAATGACAACAGCATTTGAATCAAACGATTAGTTAAAACTACACATGAGTGTTATAAACATGTAAAGAAGACAACTGTAAAGAAAACAACCGTAAAGAAGACAAATGTAAAGAAAACAACCGTAAAGAAGACAACTGTAGAGAAGACAACCGTAAAGAAGACAACCGTAAAGAAGACAACCGTAAAGAAAACAACTGTAGAGAAGACAACTGTAAAGAAGACAACCGTAAAGAAGACAACCGTAAAGAAGACAACTGTAAAGAAGACAACCGTAAAGAAGACAACCGTAAAGAAGACAACCGTAAAGAAGACAACTGTAGAGAAGACAACTGTAGAGAAGACAACTGTAGAGAAGACAACTGTAGAGAAGACAACTGTAAAGAAGACAACTGTAAAGAAGACAAATGTAAAGAAGACAACTGTAAAGAAGACAACTGTAGAGAAGACAACTGTAGAGAAGACAACTGTAAAGAAGACAACTGTAGAGAAGACAACTGTAGAGAAGACAACTGTAGAGAAGACAACTGTAAAGAAGACAACTGTAGAGAAGACAACTGTAAAGAAGACAACTGTAGAGAAGAAAACTGTAGAGAAGACAACTGTAGAGAAGACAACTGTAAAGAAGACAACCGTAAAGAAGACAACTGTAAAGAAGACAACTGTACAGAAGACAACCGTAAAGAAGACAACTGTAGAGAAGACAACCGTAAAGAAGACAACCGTAAAGAAGACAACCGTAAAGAAGACAACCGTAAAGAAGACAACCGTAAAGAAGACAACTGTAGAGAAGACAACTGTAAAGAAGACAACCGTAAAGAAGACAACTGTAAAGAAGACAACTGTACAGAAGACAACTGTAAAGAAGACAACTGTAGAGAAGACAACCGTAAAGAAGACAACCGTAAAGAAAACAACCGTAAAGAAGACAACTGTAAAGAAGACAACCGTAAAGAAGACAACTGTAGAGAAGACAACTGTAAAGAAGACAACCGTAAAGAAGACAACTGTAGAGAAGACAACTGTAAAGAAGACAACCGTAAAGAAGACAACCGTAAAGAAGACAACTGTAAAGAAGACAACGGTAAAGAAGACAACTGTAGAGAAGACAACTGTAAAGAAGACAACCGTAAAGAAGACAACTGTAGAGAAGACAACTGTAAAGAAGACAACTGTAGAGAAGACAACTGTAAAGAAGACAACTGTACAGAAGACAACCGTAAAGAAGACAACTGTAGAGAAGACAACTGTAAAGAAGACAACTGTAAAGAAGACAACTGTAAAGAAGACAACTGTAGAGAAGACAACTGTAGAGAAGACAACTGTAGAGAAGACAACTGTAGAGAAGACAACTGTAAAGAAGACAACTGTAGAGAAGACAACTGTAAAGAAGACAACTGTAGAGAAGAAAACTGTAGAGAAGACAACTGTAGAGAAGACAACTGTAAAGAAGACAACCGTAAAGAAGACAACTGTAAAGAAGACAACTGTACAGAAGACAACCGTAAAGAAGACAACTGTAGAGAAGACAACTGTAAAGAAGACAACCGTAAAGAAGACAACCGTAAAGAAGACAACTGTAAAGAAGACAACCGTAAAGAAGACAACTGTAGAGAAGACTACTGTAAAGAAGACAACCGTAAAGAAGACAACTGTAAAGAAGACAACTGTAGAGAAGACAACTGTAAAGAAGACAACCGTAAAGAAGACAACCGTAAAGAAGACAACTGTAGAGAAGACAACTGTAAAGAAGACAACTATAAAGAAGACAACTGTAAAGAAGACAACTATAAAGAAGACAACTATAGAGAAGACAACTGTAAAGAAGACAACTATAAAGAAGACAACTGTAGAGAAGACAACTGTAAGAGACAACTAGTAAAGAAGACAACTGTACAGAAGACAACTGTAAGAAGACAACATGTAACGAAGACAACTGTAAAGAAGACAACTGTAGAGAAGACAACTGTAAAGAAGACAACTGTAGAGAAGACAACTGTAAAGAAGACAACTGTAAAGAAGACAACCGTAAAGAAGACAACTGTAAAGAAGACAACTGTAAAGAAGACAACCGTAAAGAAGACAACTGTAGAGAAGACAACTGTAAAGAAGACAACCGTAAAGAAGACAACTGTAAAGAAGACAACTGTAAAGAAGACAACTGTAAAGAAGACAGCTGTAAAGAAGACAGCTGTAAAGAAGACAACTGTAAAGAAGACAGCTGTAAAGAAGACAGCTGTAAAGAAGACAACTGTATTCGAAGCAGATGACCGGTTGATGTATATTTCCGTGTAGACGGTTACATTTGAATTAGAATGTCACAAGTGTTGATACTAAAGGACAATTGCATTTGAACCAGATGATCGGAAATATGTTTACATAAAAAAGTTGCATTTGAGCTGCCGGGCAGTCATAAATATTTACATAAAGACATCTGGATTGAGGCAGACAATCATTTACATAAGTTGAAAAGTAGATTTTACCCCACCAGGACAGCACACAGAGCGATAAACACCCGTTGACACATAATGCCACCATGCGGATAAGGATCACCCGTGGAGAGGTCCCGGAAACCGCATTCAACCGTTAGGTTATATTTCCGGCCCTGTCAACAGACCGGGTGGGGCTTCAAAGTAATGAAAAATAGCATCCCACAAGAGGATGATAAAGGTATAATCATTTACATTTACATGAATGCATTTACATTCGAGCTAGATATTCATGGGAGTTCTATAACATTCCAGCCAGAAAATCATTTGACTTTACGTGAAGACATCTGTATTTTAGCTAGATATTCATGGGAGTTCTATAACATTCCAGCCAGACAATCATTTGACTTTACGTGAAGACATCTGTATTTTAGCTAGATATTCATGGGAGTTCTATAACATTCAAGCCAGACAATCATTTGACTTTACGTGAAGACATCTGTATTTTAGCTAGATATTCATGGGAGTTCTATAACAATCCAGACAGACAATAATTTGACTTTACGTGAAGACATCTGTATTTTAGCTAGATATTCATATATGTTTTATTTACGCATTGAAATTTGCATTTGAACCAGATGATTATTCAAAGTTACAAGTTAGACTCGTTTCCTTTACAGGACATTGCAGAACCAACTCTAGCATTTTTGTGGCTTTTGTGATTTTTCTAGAGCAAATTTACGTCCAGTAGTTTGCTACTATTACCTGGACGGTCGGCTTCTCCATATCACTGCTGAAACCAACGCTAGTCTCAGAGCCCACAGCTGGGATCCAACCTGGCACCCCGGCATTACGAAGCTAGTTCCCAACTCATAAGCCACATAAGTTATATTTACTTAGATATATTTTTGCACCTGATCCACACGTAAATCGTTCGCACTGTATCGACTTAATGACAACGCGGATAATTACTATTATACTTACACAAAGATGATATATTTGAGCCAAACTCTAGTAATCGCTGAAACAATCTGCAGATTCGTTTCGGAAGAATCATTATAGACATACTTCAGCAAAACAAGAAAATCTGTTGACAAGATGGCTGCTGACCTAAGCACAAACAAAACAGAACGTTTTCCTGCCACGGAGAGTGCACTGGTCAGCGACGAAGCGCTAGACCTTTTCTTCTTGCTCAGCACCGGAGCTTTGCTTCCCACTTGCCTGCTCGGTATCGCCACAAATTGCCTGAACATCATCTCATATAAAATTATGGGATTTCAAGACAGCGCAACCAGTTGCTTCTTTGCCCTGTCAGTGTCGGACCTAGGCTCTACCGTAATCTTCCTAGCTATCACACTCAGTTGCATAATAAAGATCCAGTTTCCAGCCCTGCCCGTCAACATATTTGATCTGGTCTATGTCCTTTCGAGTGACTTAAGCATGGTATGTGATATATCCATTGTCTTAAAAACGTATATTGCAATACAACAAGGCTGTTGTGTGGCGTTTCCCTTTCGCGTCAAGCATTTGTTCACACGGAGAAAGACGACAGCGGTTATCTTGTGTGTGTATACGTTCTGTGTCGCATGTTATCTCCCTTCATTGTGTCTGAAGTCGCTGCGTGCAGTAACACATTCATCAACGAACAGAACTGAAATATCTCTGTTTTTGAAGAACGGATGGGTTCTTGCAGATAGTTTTGTGAACTTCTTTAACAGATCCGTTTTAATTTGTACCTGCCAACTTTTAATTCTGATTTCCATGATTATTATCATGTCTGGTTTATCTGTCAGTTTACAATATCGACAACTTGCTTGGGTTGGGGAATACTCAAAAACTAAATCACACAGTATGAGAAGGCTGCATCTTCTAAGACAAGTTACAGTGTCTCTTAAAATGGAAAGACATAGAGGACACCAAGTAAGACAACACACAAGTCGTAAACAACAAGAAGCAGTTGGAACTCAACTTCTTTGGAGAAACAAGGAGTTGCGGGTGCTCAAACAAGTCACGTTGGTTTCGGGAATCTTCTTCACCTGCAACATTCCCGCTGTTATAATCTCAATTGCAAATCGAATTGTACCAGAATTCCGCTACAGGGATATATACAGTAACCTCGTGTGGGTTTTATTCGCTTGTAGCCACTTTGCTGGACTAATCAGTTCCTCCACTACCTTCTTCATCTACTGCAACTTTAATTCTAAGTTTATCAAAACGGTTGAAAAATTAGTCGGGCATTGTAGAAGACGCTAG